TCCTTGAATGGAAACATGTCTGTAAAAAAGCTCACCTGGTGGGAAGGGGAAAGGAGGGAAGGATAGCATATTGCTTTTTAGGGGAATTTATTTGCAGCTTCTTTTCTGCTGCACACGAATAAACCAGAACCTGCAGCAAACAAGCTCCTGGAGCGCCAGGAGAAACCCATCTTCAACACTTACGTTTATTTTCAACAGATGTCCTGTCATGCCTGCACATCACAGTGTTAAAAGAGAAAAAAAAAGCCAAGAAAGGGCTTTATGAGACAGAAGAGACTGTTCCCATTCGAAATGCAAACAAGTAACCCTCCCAAAAAGTATATTTTCTTCAGGAAAAATGAGACCTTAGAGGGTACATTTTCTTCAGGAAAAATGAGACCTTTGAGGACCTCTTCTGTTTTGGTTTACCTCCTCCTTGTGGCAGCTTGCGGGTGAGTTTGTAAAAGCGTCTGCAGCATCATGTCATTTCTGGAGAGAAAACCTGTTTCCTAGGACGTGATGGAAAGGAAAAGCGGAGCTCAGCAGGTCTGCATCCTGCCCAGGGCATCCCAGATGGGAAGCACAGCAGAATAACCCCATGTCAACGCGGTTTTAATTGGTACAATTACTTTGATTAGGATGTGATTTTAAATTTTAACTGAGCAGTTACAGAGGCACAGCACCTACAGCAGAGGCTGTGGTATCTGGAATGAAGAGTTTTTATGCTGCCACTGCATATTTTCCTTTTTGTGCAGGAGTGGGGAATAAACCCTGCTTCATCCCCACCAGACTTGTGAAAGCAGCAGAGACCTCGGAGCCTGCCTGGACAAGGCGGGAGGCAAAGGCAAGGTGATCCTTGTTCCTTTTCCGTTTGGGATGCTGCAGAACACGGATCTCTGATTTGTTGCCATCCTAAAGGGTCCAGCTCTCACAGGATTGTGCGTGTTAGAGAACAAAATGTCCATTGCTGCTAAGAGGAAAAACAATGACCATGACAGTGTTTAACCAGAATGTAAATACAGCTAAATTATGGATGTAGAAGCGTGAAACCATGGAGAAAGGTGATAATGGAATTATATATCAATGCTCAGCACAACTGTAAAAACTAATGTTTTATACATGTGTAACGTTAAATTAATTCATTCCAGTTCTTTCAGGCAAAGGTACATTAACTGCTCCATCTCGGCATAATCGTATTACCTCAACAGGTTCTATATATGTCATACTTCCAGGGTGGTAATTGCCATTTGATTAATTACATGGAGTTTAGAGGCATTACAGCGATCCCTGATGCAGCAGTGCAATGTGACAGAGTCCCCTCATCCCTCCAGGCTGACCTGCTGTCCGCACCGGCCCACTCTCCACCACCATGGCTCACGTCGCTGCCCGAGCACCGTCTCAGGCTGCAGCCGGCAGGCGCTTCTGAAGCTCAGTGCTTGGCAGCGGGGATCATGCCTGGACAGACTTTGTACCCTGGCAAGCTCACATGGCGGGGACGACACAACGACTTACAGCACCTCAATCCCAGCCTTTGGAAGAAGTGTAAACATTGGCGCAACTGGTCCTTTTCTTTGCAGAGTTAGCCAAGAAATGCAAACAGCCCAAAGATGGCTCCGGGTGATGTCAAGGGTATCCTTGACAGTGTCACTGCAAATTGCAGGTTATTCCAGGTCTCTCCAGGTGACGAAGCTGATGGAGGGACTGAGAACAGCACATGGCCCTTCAAAAAGAAACATCTCTGACAGCTGAGTCCTCAAACCGTGGCAGGAGAATCCTTCCCATCAGTACATACAAGTTGAAACCATGGTGAGTGGCACCTCTGGAGGGTTGTGAGATGCCTATGGCCTAGATGCTCCTCCTGCAAGCAAGCTTTGTGCTGACTTTGATTACCCCTGGTACAATACCGGTCGCTTGGTGCCTTCGTCTTCATCCCCTTTTTTCTCTCCCCCGGTTTTGCTGCCTGTGCACCAGACGCTTGGTTTCTCAACTGAGCTGCTTTTGTTGGTGTTCCCCTGATTGAAATCTACTTACCAGGCTAGAGCCGCCTAGACGGGCAGCTATAGCTTGCTGACGGAGGGCAGATGTGCATGGGATGATTCCCTCTGACTGTCTCACTCGGGAGTAATCCTGCTACCTGGGCGCAGAGCCTTGGCTGGCTGTCACCACAGCCTTCCATCACTCCTACAGTGACCGCCACTCCCGCTCCCCGAAAAGGGCAATCGTGAGCCTCACTTGGAATAACAAACATCTCATGCAATAGATTTTAACAGTGACTTAAAAAAAAAAAAAAAGAAAAAAGCACCTCTACTTATGTAACTGAGCTTTATTTAGAATCTTTGAAGCCATAAAATGTCTCATTTTACTGATATACGTAAACATACAATCAGGAGGTTTAATTGCTTTTTCCCTTGCACAGAAATAAAGTTTTAAACAAACCAGAACACCTCGACCCAGACAAGCGTAATGCAAATTTAATTATCTTAGTTGGTCCTGTACATACAGCACACGCTTCTCCGCATGGTCACTGGTTTATCAATTAGTTGCAATATAATTTTTGGCAGTAATATATTCAACACACAAAGTGCAAATTACAAGAAGCAGAAAATGTTCTCTCTCGTTCTGAGCAATGAGAAGTGCAAAGTATCTCAGCCCATAAATTCTGTTCTTTATGTATATGAACAGTATGTGCATAATAGGCTAATAAATAGCCGTGTAAAACTTCATAGATTAAATGTGGCAACATCTTAAAGTAGGAATGCAACAGTTATAAAAACATAATCAGACAAAGGAATCATTACATTTTGTTCATAAATTCCATACAATATTTCTGAGGGTACCTCTTCACATTTCACCTACCTGCCTTTAACTTCTGCATACCTTGGACACTTTTGCAACCAAAGGCAGTTTGTTAAAAATTCTCCAATTTGCTACATCTGGACATATTTCTGTGCGTCTACAATGAAGGTTCCACTAACACTTCACTTGGCAAATTAAATAGTACAGTGGGAATCCACTGAAAATGTGAAGTCTCTTCCAGGCACTATTAACGGAATACCCACTAATGGTTCCAGCAGGCTAAATGCACTTCGTGATTACCTAAAGTTAAAGAAAACTTTTCAGTGAAATAAAGAAAACTGTTTCAATGAGAGCTAGTCACAGCTTGCTTGTTTCAGTGTAGTTAATCTTGCTTCAGTACCTGTTCTTTTATGTAAAATTGGAGAATACCCACTCGAGCTAGAACATACTGAATGCAGCACTTTCAACACAAACCCAGTTATTATGTTACAGATTTTGAATCGTCTTTCCATTTAATTCCAGGGATTTTTCACATAAAATGAGCAGCCAATTTTGACCCCCACCCCCTTTCATTTCTCCCAGCTACATCATCATTATAAATTATACCAAATAGTCCAAATCAGACTGGGTTGCTTCCTCTAAGACCCTACTGTTCCTCTGGATAGGAAGATTAAACCACAATGACTTGTGTTGCCATTAATCTGCCTGCCAAATTCATTTGCTAAATCACTAAGGCCACGGTCATATAGTCACTGCAGGAATGGCTGCGACACGTAACGAAGTTGCTAACTTTCGGCTGAACATTCCTGCATCCCACCTCCATCGTGCAGCGTGGGACAGGCCTTGGGAAGGCGCCTCGTGGGCTTCAGCATGCTCTCACCTGGCTGAGCTTAAACCAAAAAAAACAGACAGTTGCTTCCACTGAGCTGTCTGACTCACTGGAGGGGACTGAAGAACCCCCGTCTGCATGCTCTGCCCTGGGGAGGACAGGCACGGCAGCCAGCCCCGGGAGGACATCACCTTAAACTGCTGCAGCAGTCTTCTGTGGCAATCATCTCACCACTGCCTGGTATTATTTGGTATTATCCAAAATTGAACTCCAGCAGCCCTAGGAGACAAGCATTCTCTGCGATCCGTGAAAGCCTCTTCCTGCACTATCTGATCCTGGGGAGACTCTTGGTTTGCTGGTTTGGATTAACTTTGTCTATCCTTAAAGACAATGTGCAGAGGGACTGCTCACCATCATTACTAGAATTACAGGATCACACTGCTGAAGCAAACTTTTGTCTTCATTAAAGTTTCAGGATGAACAATTATGCTGCAACTTGGCACAACAACAACTGCCTTTGTATGCAACATGCCTGGCATATATCAGCACATTTCTTCTTCTTTAAAAATATGATTAGAATAGAACGAGATAGGTTGTTGTTGTTCATGCTGCCTACATATCTGAAAAGGCTCAAACATTTTAAAAGCCTAAAAAAATAAATTTCCCTCTCCCCTAGTTTATTTTCATGCTAAAGGCTGCAAATTGACACATCACAGTAATTACCTCTGACTAACTTCCATAGACCTACCCAAAGAGATAAACATGAGAAGTTCACATTTGACTATCAGACTTACTGTGCCGAGCACAAATAATTTCCCAGAGGAGAATTTGATATTTCATCATTTGGAACAGTGGTAATTTAATTACATTGCTAATGTTTTCTGGCATACTTGAAAGGACAATTAGCATAAGTAAATCATGAGTGAGATGACAAGTCACTCGGCATTTATTTCTGCTCATCAGATGAGATCAGTTGATGATCTAAATTCTCTTTTGTGTG